CTGTTTTGTTAGTGCAACCTAAATGGTAAATGGCGTATCGTTCACGCCTATAACGAGTTGAATGCATAGACGATTTCAGCGCAAATGCCGATCCGCGTAAGGATGTTACCATTCACCGTATGTCCGGCTGTACACAGTTTGATGTACTAGGGTTCAACTCCGTTAGTCGTCTCCACGGATCTCGCAAGCTTGCGATATGCAGTTCAGTCTCCTCACGTGTCACAACGGACGGCTTGCTGGTTGTAATTCTTTTTTGGACACAACTTCACGATTGCGTACAGACCAGGGAGGCTAAACGAGCTGGTTGATGTGTTTTCTAATCGTCCTGATTATGAGCGAATCATATCAGCTATATCAAAAACGATGTATTAGATATGATACGTCAAGCGTATATTGAGGATAAACACCATCAGAGCAATGTCAGCGAAGATGTGGAATTCCATGACAAGCTTCCTGGTTGCATGAAATTACGGATGCATAGTTATGCAAAATGCTTTCCTTTAGTGTGAAGTTGCGCATGGCGACGACCCACATATTGTTGTTCCCAAAAACGATGATTTGAAGTACAGTATAGTGTTTAAGGCGCATGATACACTGATGGCCGATCACTTTGGCCGTGAGAAGACTTACCAATCTCAGAGCCCAATTTGGTGTTCCGCATGTACAAGTGAGCTGCACGATACGTGAGGACATGCAATGTCATTCAGCGCGCGAAGAGCGCTCGGCACACGATGTGCCACCGCAGAGTCTCCCTGGCTTCAAAAGTCAGTCGGTCTCGACTTTAACTTCGGTTTCAGAAAAATGCTGATGGTCGCAATTGAGTGCTCGTCTTCTTGTACAAACTCAGCAAGTGGTTTGCATCGCTTCGTGTAGCGGTTCTATCGATGCCGAAAATTTGCTTAGATTGTCCGTTGATCACGTTTTTTGCAATCATTAATTGTCAGGCGCCATCGTCTCTGATTATGATACGTGACTCACGAGAGGCTTTTGGATAGAATTTTTCGAAATTTGGTACACACTTGAATATGTCCACGGTGGTACACCCGGAAACCGAAGGGCAAACAAAACGTGGTCGGTGATGTGTGAAGAAGCGTCTATGCGGAAGATCCAGCAGAATGGGGTTACTGGTTAAATTTGCCAGGATCAATTTGGTTTATTCATCCACTGGATTTACACCAATTTCAAAAATGGCTTCCTACACCCGCAAGTACCTCTTTATGCGATGGGTGGAGTCTCTGATGGAAGTGGGGAAGGAGCTCGGCAAATTGTCGCCTCTAAATTGAGGCAATCAATGATGCAAATATGAAGCGCAAGTACGAGGACGTTCTGGGCTCATTCATCATGAGTTGTATCAATGTGATCACACGGGTGCGAGATGCAATGGCGAATGCGCTAGATCTGCGAAAGATTACGGCGGTAGGCGAGAATGACAATGCAAAATGTATGTCACTGTAGGGGATACTGTACAATTTCGTACTAAGAAACTACCAGATGATGCGGTCTCAAACTTGGGTAGCTGGAAGCCATTGTTTTGCTCCATCGTTTACTTCGAGTAGTGTCACGACATGGAGATGCTTACGGTATCGACCTGTCAAGCTGGCTAAGGACACATCCAACATTCTAGGTGGGGCACTTCAAGTCCTATCATCGTGATGACGCGACGCCCAACCTAGAAGTAATGCAGTCTTATTCGAATATGGATTCGAAGCCATAGCTTCGGCACGAGGGTCAAAAGTCGAACCCCTTGGCGTCGTTGCCTCAGCATCATCCTCAAAACGACGAACATCATCGTAGACGTCAGAACCAAACAAACGATCGTGAGAGTCGTTATGTCGACAGGAAGCAGATGACTGCTGGTTGCATTAGCATTTACTCGGAGAAGTTAATCCGTTCGAATCAGAGCGAGGTCACTTTGCAGGAGGCTCCACATTGTTAGCAGCAGCAGCCGCAGCAGGGGGAGAAATTGTAGAGTCTGCTCTTATGCTCTTATTGCCGAATCAGACTCTCGAATGCATCTTCAGGCGAGTTTCGATGACGACGTGCGAGATCCCGAGCGTCGCAGACGATCCGTTGAGTATCCTTCACGCGTTGTCGTGTTCGCGACACGCTATCGAATACATCAATTATCTGCCGGATCACCACCGACTCGACTGCTTAAATCGCAATTCGGATCAGATGAAGCAGAGGAGACACCCTCTTCTGGCACTTTCCCCTCTTCGTGATCGACAGTGAACGAGAACGTGGTGGCGGAAAATGAATGTCTGGAATCGGAAGGAGGTCTTGGTGAATTGGCTCGGTTATTCAGCAAATGAGATTACGTGTGAGCCTTGTAGTCGTATTCATCGCGCGTTTCTCGATATCGAACTCGCGGTCGACGCGGGTCCAATCGGACTCCGCTTAGGGGGTCCGTCAAATCCTCTTCTCTCTCTCCCTTACGTCGTGGATTCGAGTAATGACCGCACATACTTCGTGAGCAACTTTAAAATCGAGAACCCAATCCTGCGCTGTCGAATGGGCGAATCTAGAAGCATAACGCGTATCTTTAACAAGTCTGCCGCAGCATTCGCATTTTGCAAACGGTGGAAATCCAAGTGTTTTGCTGCACAAACTCATGCCCAGAATCAAGTGCCGATTGTCTGGACAGAATCTAGATGGGATTACAGGAGGTGCGGCATGTAGATGAGACTTCGTGGCTATTCTCCACCACGTGTAATCGGTCCGATGGCGCAAAAATACGCGGTTCGAGTCATCACTCAAGCTTCCATTTGCCTAAAAGTTCGTCAGAATCTAATGTGGCACCACCACATCGGTTGTGAAATTAATGACGACGATTAATTTCACGGTAAAGTAAATACAAAAGATGGCTGAACTCGTCGATGGGCCCTTCTTAAGAATCGTCATCCGCCCAACCTTGTCGTTTCACGCCAGGTTTCGGCTCAGCGTGCGAAAGCGCTTTTCGACGTGGAAAGAGAGCATAATTTAAGTTCGATGGTGGCAAAGACGCCTTCTTATTTCTTGGATTTAGGTGCGGTTTTGCTCTGTGCTCGTCGCCGACGCAAGTCGTTTTTCGATGTGTTCCACTTTGAATTACGAATGACCAAGTACCACTGCATAGTTGCATATATTTAGATTCTGTTTTTTTAAATTGAAGGCGCTTATCAGGTGGGGGGTCTAAGGTCTATTGGCCAAACTACATGTTACATCACCTTTTCCTCCTCGTCCACATAAACCAACGGCTCGCTGGAAGTGAGCAATACGCGGTGAGGTATTTACTTTCTCCTTAGTAAGTGCGTGTAGACGGACGGGCAACTCTTGTCACACGTCTTGCTCCAGTACCCGAATCAAGTGCATGTTCTTTTGGTACTATCGCCAGTATTCAGTACCCCGGGTAAAGTCCTCACGTTGGGGTCAGATTTTCTTGACCGCTGATATTCCAAGTGCATGCGGTACTGCCGAGGAGTAATGACCTGTTGAGTTTAAAAGGCGCTCATGGAGATCTCTTTGGTGCTCGTTTCGCTCCGTGTTTGACCAATAGTTCTGCACGCATAGGCGGGTCAGTACACGTCGTACTTGAGAGCTTCGCGGTGGCGTCTCGCTAATTTTTCCGTCTAATTGAACGGGCAATGCATATTTGTACAGAGGATTTACAAAGTGAAGAGGCTCAGCGTTTCACTTCGTCGCATCTCTTCAGGTAAAGACAGATGTGTCGAGTAAAGTCACTAATCCATCTTATCGGAGAATATCTCAACCTTATGGCTTTAAGTTTGCTGGCGATAAGATTTTCTCTAAGGATTGTTCATCAATGATGTTTGGTACGAAACAGAAATCTTAATATGAATGTGCTGTAGATGGAGAAATTGCACGGTGCTAGAAGTGCATGGAATCTCCAAACTAAGTGGTTGCGCTTGAGCGCTTCCTTTGGCGCAATTTTATAGCAGAGCCCCAGTGTTGCTCACATTCTGGTTGGGTAGGGTGTGTTGAAGCACGTTCTGTACAATTGTGGGTGTGCATATGAGTATCTCTGTACACTTCTGTGTAATTGTGAAAATGGTCAATAGCATGACAGTATCGGTGCTGCTGCTGATGATTTTTTTGCCCTAAAGAGAGGGTCGTTAGACTTGTGATCGATTAACCTCAGGTCAAGCAATATAAATACTTGTATTGTTGAATATATTTGGACGTGTATCAGTTTGGATAAAATCAGTCCTGAATTGATGTCAATCTTAAAATAAAAGAATAACCTGGCCCCTATCTACGTGAGAAGTTTCGCGGTCCTCTTCTGGGTTAAAGTGTGAAATTATGTTCTTCGCACCATGTACGCGGACTCCTTGGGTAAACAATTCTTTGTGGGGGCTGCATGGCAACCCCGCTGCATACATATTGATAGTAGGTGAGTAAAGTTTTATTATTAGGAGATACGGTGGAATGCAGGTCAGCTTGAAGGAAGTTGCATTCCAGCATGAAGGAAAACAATTTGTATTCGTCTAAGGTCGGATTGCAAAACAAGAACACTTGGGTATATTCACGAGGAACTGAAAATGGCTTTGCAGACAAAGCTTCAATCAAGTGGGAGAAGTAGTGTTAGAGGGCATATAAATTTGTATGTCAAATGTATGTGCCAAATCAGCAAGATGGTGTAGGCGACTATAGATTTTTATTAATATATTTATTTTTGCAGAAATGCGAAATGCGATATAATGGTCTGGACGGATACATATGTCTATTGGCAGAAATTCACTTTTCGACGCATTTTTTTGTCCGCGTAACTACAACATTATTATATATCTTTTTGCTGCTTCGAGCATGCTCAATCGACGACGCACTAAATATTCAAAACCTCTATCAAATGGTATCCTGTCAGCAAATATGAGTATCTAAATCAAAACTACTATATATTCGTCACTATCATCAAATTTCCTGTCATTTTTAATCAAAATAAAAGTATTGTCCAATACTAAAAGTCAGTCCAATCATTCCCAAAACCTCCTTGTGCGGCTGTGATGTCGACGACCATCAAGTCCCCCATCGCTTTAACTGCACAGCCCTATATCTGCGGAGGATCCGCTGCTGTCTTTGCTGCTGTAGCTATTCACCCCATCGATCTCGTTAAAGTTCACCTTCAACTGGCTGGGCAAACAGGATCCAATGTGACTGGTTTCGGTGTCGCCCGTTCCGTTGTGGCTAAAGAAGGAATTACTGGTCTATATGCTGGTCTCTCAGCTGCTGTAGCCCGTCAAATGGTCTATGGAACAGCTCGTCTTGGTATGCACCGTGCATTTTCTGATAAAATGATTGCGCGCCGTGTTGCCAACGGAGAGAGCGCTTCATTACCATTAGCCATCAAATCAGCGTCTGCTATAGTAACTGGTGGCATTGCTGCTACACTTGGTTGTCCTATGGATGTAGCACTTGTACGAATGCAAGCCGATACATTAGCCCAATCTAGTGAAAAGCGTGGGTACAAGAATGTATTTGATGCAATCTTAAAGATTGCAGGTTCAGAAGGTGTAACAACACTATGGCGAGGGAGTATCCCATTAGTCGCTCGTGGTGCTGCTATGAATCTTGGAATGATGGCTTCATATGATCAAGCGAAAGAGATGCTTTCAGCTCATTATGGTCACGGTTTTGTGACAAATATGGGAGCAAGTGCCGTGTCTGGTTTTGCTTGTGCATTCACTTCGCTACCATTTGACTTGGTCAAGTCACGTCTAATGAACATGAAAGTTAATCCCACAACAAATCTATATCCTTATTCGGGTGTGACGGATTGTTTCAAGCAAATTATCATCAAGGAAGGTCCATTAAAGCTTTGGCGTGGGTACTGGACATACTATACGCGTTGTGCACCCAATGCAATGATTGTGCTTTTGGTCGTAGAGCAATTGAACGCCGTGTACAAAAAGACATTTCTGGACTAGAATGTTGTTTAGAGTCTTCTGTCAATCTAAATGGACGTCTCATGTCTATAGAGTTTTTAACAGACGTAGAAACATATGACGCACTTCTTGTCGATAATAATCTTAGTCCTCACACAATTTTTATGTCTTCAATAAGCATTGAATGTCTGATTCCATACTCAAAGGTGCTGCATCAGGACCAAATCGCTTCAATACTTGGCCATCACGACTTACGAGAAACTTGACAAAGTTATTTTCAATAAATATATTAGCTGCCGATTTCATTGTGCCAGATTGTTTCGTCTTACAAAAAAGCATCGGATCACGTGCATGTGGACCATTCACATCACGTGTAGAAAGAACGGAGAATTGAACACCATATAATTCTTGAAAATACTCGACAAGTTCTTCATCAGTGTCGAACTCAACGTCTCCGAATTGAGCACTAGGAAATGCCACGACCTTTAGACCAGCATCTTTGTATGTGGTTGATAATTGAACAAGTTCGAGAAACTGCTTTTCATTCGTATGATAAGCACCACTTGAAACATTTGTGAGTAAAGCCACGAATCCACGCAAGTTTGAGAGATGAAAAGTTTGACCAAAGGCGTCGATATCCTGAAGCGAGTAAATTGAAGCTGATGGTATTGCGAACGAGAGAATGGCAGCATGAGTTTCCAAGAAAGTAGCTCCAGCATCAACAAGTGCCAATAGCCACTGCTCTTGCTCGGATTTTCTTTGGAATACCAGAATCTCGACTTTGCTGTTGCCTTGACTATTTTCGTTACTGGTGCAGATCCTTAAACCGAGACATAACGAATCGACACGAACGACACAATACTCGACTGTGGCTGCAGAAAGTTTTATATGAACGATACAATGTCGGCCCACGTCTGTTTCGAATAACACGAGAGAGTGATGCTTTGTCTTGTTAATCACAGCGTAACAAGATTCTACTTTTGACGGAAGGTGAAACAATGTTCGAAGATGCGTTTCTTTCAATTGACGCTGAACAAAAGCTGCTTGAGTGGCGCCGTCGGTAACTGCCCATACAGACAGTGACTCGTCAACATGCGTGAGTTTCTTTGGTGAGTGACGTGATTCAATCGGCAAGACGACGGCACCTGGCAGGGACGTCGTTGTAGTGTCGAAGGTGACAATGCTTTGTGTTGGTATGATCACGGAGGCACCAGGAGCCACAAGTTCGTAGAAACACTCATCGAATACATAAAGTTCTTCGAGTGGCTCATCGTTAGCAGTTGAAGCTTCGTGGACTGGAGATAAAAAGCCACTGAGTATTAAAGTCTCTGCTAGTTGTTGAGCATTGCGAAGCGAATTGTTGGCTGCGTGGGAGAGTATTAAAAACTTAAGAATTGCTTTAATGAGTGAGCGGCCTTGAATGAACATTCCTTTACCAGCTTTTGCCAGATGAACGGGATGGTGCCACCAATGAGTTCGCTTCTGAAAGACATGTTGACGCACTTTTGGTGTTAGCAAGTACGCTGCCACCATATCCGATTGCATTTTAAGCTCAGATGGTAGCAATTGAAAACGCTGCAATCGACGAAAGACACGACCATGTACTGGCGATAATGAAGACAAACATAATCTTTCAGTAATAGGAGAAGCAATGGAGGAAAGTGCAGTCACAAAAGATGGTTCTCGCTCCATAAGCTCGCGTTCACTTCGCTCCATCTCACGAGCACTTTCAGCCAAGTTGATCATACTTTGTGCCGCACTCATTTTATGGTCCTTCATCACCTCTCTCGTACTCGATACTTCAATCAGACCGTTAAAGCGTCACAGAATTGTGTCATTCGACCTTAACGACACACGACGTCCACATATTGTTCGCAAGAAGAAAATGACAGTGCTTGCAATTATGCGCTAAATGAATTGTTCTTAGCGTTGTAAATGGTGTTCTACGGCAGTTAACATAGTGAGAACCAGGTGTTCTAAGTCACAGAGGGAACAAACACAATATCGTGGCTGCACCTAGATGACAGATCGCTCATGTTTCTTTTTGCGAGTTTTGGTACATTTCATCTAAGGGTATAACCAGAGTCTTATCAGAGATACATTCAGCTAACACTGGATTATTTACTTCAACACAAAAGAATTATATAAGAGCCCGCGATGCAATTACAAAAAGTACCTATATAAATCCAGGAGATAGAAGCAGCAAGAACTAACATACCATCGTTTTGACGTCGAAGGGATGTTTCCTCGCTATGACAAGCTCTACCTATGGTGCACTGACAGCGACCACCACATCTTCCGTTTTCACGATTTCTACCTTGGGTGTCGTCTCCTCAACCGTAGCAGCAACCTTTGTCTCCTCAACCGTAGCAGCAACCTTTGTCTCCTCAATCGTAGCAGCAACCTTTGTCTCCTCGATTGTGGTGGCAATCGTTTCCGTCTTTTCAATCTTCGTCTCCTCTGTTACCACCTTGATCTCCGTCGTCGCTACTTCCTTCTCCTCCGTTATCTCTTCGCTTTTCACCTCTGTTACCGTTTCTTTTTTCTCTTCAGCAGGCGTCTCTTGTTTGTCCTCAAGTGCCGTCTCCTCCTTGTCTGACGTCACTTCGTCCGACTTGGTAGATGCGACGTCGTCTGGAACTTCTTCCTCTGTCTTTTCCGGCTCTGGTGCCTTGGCTAGCAATTCTTTAATATCCTCTTCAAAAGAAAACGGAAGCTCCTTTGGTCCATATCGTTTAAACGGCTGTCCATTGCGATCCACAAGAAACTTGGTAAAGTTCCACTTGATGTAGTTTCCGAACGTGCCCGGCAATTTGGCCTTAAGGTACGTAAAGACTGGTCGTGCATTTGCACCATTCACATCATGCTTTTCAAACAGCGGAAATGTGACATTATACTCTTTAACAAATTCCATGATTTCTTCATGGGTGCCTGGTTCCTGACCAGCAAACTGATTGCATGGGAAACCTAGAACCACAAGACCTTGTTCCTGGTACCTTTCATGCAGTTGTTGCAATTCTGGGTAGTTTGTCGGCGTAAGGCCACACTTGCTCGAGACATTGACCACAAGAACAACCTTTCCCTTGTAATCTTCCATACTCACTTCCTTCTTATTCATGTCGAAATCTTTGAGTTCATAGAATGATTTGGCCTCTTCTGCTGCCAGATTGTACACTTCACGGTACTGCACTCCAACATTTAGTAGCGTATTAAGAAACGCCTCTTGGTCATCCTTTGTCACAAGGTTCAACAACTCAAACTTGTCGCCATACACAAGCTTGACACCGAATTGAAAGTGAGCATTATCGTATTGGACTAATCCATCGGCCGCGGCATATTCTGCAACAGCAGACCGTGCCACGTCAGACTCGAAAAAGTAAATTTTCTGCGTCTTTTCATTGGCCACAACATATACATCTTTTCCTTGGGTAAAAGCGGAGAACACACCAGCTTTGCGCTTGAGTTGCGATGCATATATGGCACCATCCACCACGTGCCATACACTCGTTTCTTTTGATTCGGTAATAGCTTCAGATAGTGGAACAAACAGCTCGTTGTCCGTCACAAACTCCTTGGGTGGATCGGCCAGGTAATTCTTGACGCGATCTTTGTATGCAGTGACAAAACCTGCGAGCACCAATGCCTCGGCGATCTCTTTAGCACGAGCACGGTATGGTGAAGGCTTTTCCACTTTCTTCTCTTTCTTTTTATCTTCCTTCTTGGGTTTAGAAGATTCTTCCTTGCTAGTTGCCTCCTTCGGTGTTTCAGTCGTCTCTGCGACCTTGGCAGTTTCTTCGACGTTTGCAGCGTTATCATCCTTCGAAGCCTCATCTTCATCCTTCGAAGCTTCATCCTCAGCCTTCACAGCCTCATCCTCAGCCTTTGGAGCCTCAACCTCAACCTCAGGAGTCTCGCCTTTAGCTTTAGGAAGATCTGCCGCGTCTTCCTCCTTTTTTTCAGATTCCGCGGAAGGTGTCTCCTCAATTTTCTTTTCTGTTTCTTCAGGAGTAAGCCACTTATCCAAAAAGTCAATGAGTTCTTTGCCACGCACGCTCAGTGGCACCTTCACAAGGGCTGAATGATGCGACGTAAAAACTTCCGTTTTCTTCTCAATCAGATGCTTCTGAGCGGCTTCTGTCTGTTCGCGTAAGTCATCGGCAAGCCCGTTATAGGCATTCTGGCGGGCGAACACGCGGCCATGAAGTTCACTCATGATTTGATTTAGGTAGTTTCTTCGAAGACGATCTGCGCGGTTGCTGACAAATTGTTGAATGATGAGATTCTCCGGAGGGTTACTATGAAATTGACTAAATAGGTAAATATCGATTTTCACAAATTTAAGCCACAAAAGTTCGTCTAAGTACGAATACTACTTGATTTGCTGTGCTATAAGCGGTGTGATGGAGTAGGCATGGAAGACGTTGCTGTCACAGTCGTGACGGTGGATATACAATGCATCTTAGAATCTCCTTCATGCCCACTTACTCAGGATCATTACGTTTCTCGTCATTTTACTGTGTACCAATGTCTGCACAACCCATCCAAGTCATGGAGCATATTATCGTTGTACCACTGACCATCTGTTTTCTCTACTGCAACATTGATATAAGTCTAATCTATTAAATGCAAATACATGGTGAAATATTATCAACGATTTGCCTTTACATACCCTGCGACAAGTGGAGCTATGTAACAAGGCCGGGTCGTGCCACAAACCTTCACTTTTTTGACACCACATAATTAAAACTCAGAGAATGATATAAAGCTCGCATCACTCACACTGCATCACTTTTCCGTTTTCCTTAAAATGTGCTTCATTTGGACGAAAATGTTTCATTGCGTTGAAATTGTAGCCGTCTACAACATAACAATCGGACCGTCCCACACACAATTCGCGCGCCAGGGGAGATGGGCTTTACAGTAGATTTCAAACACGCAGCTGCCTTGATTGCCACCACGTGGCCGTCGTTCTTCGAAAGGCCGATGGACGCGTGTTCTAGTACCTTCGACATGGCAAAACGTGTAGCTGTTTAAGTGACAAGGGTTCGCCACGTAACAAGTAAAGTATACATTTGTTTGAGCACTTTTGCTCTCGTACTGATGAAACCTGAGTTAATTTGTGTACTTTAAGCCAAAGACTTTGTTTTTAAATTTCCTCATTTCTGGTGAGTAATGAGAGTTACGACGGTAATGTTGCAGCTACAAGTAATCCATCAAAAGTTTAATGTACAATAATTAGACATTTGTTGCGCTACTTTTTGCAAACAGCTGGGGGCAGGTAAAGGCAGAAACTCTCTATTTTTGCAAGAACAGCTGGAGACATAGGAAATCATCAACTTTCTCTATGCCTATCCATACATTTCTTAAGGTAAATAACTAGACACTCACATCTTTTAAGAAAGCGACTAAATTCTGATGACCAGCCGTACACTGAATGAGTTCTATATGCTTAAGGTGCGTTTGGCTCTTATGATAAATGCTGAGGTTACTCTCTAGCAAACGCGGTGGTAATATTTAGCTCAATGATTGCAGAGAGAGTAAAAGTTGATCTCTATGAAGAATTTCTTAGGAAAAGAGACTTACAGCACGACATTGCGTTGGAAAACGTGGCACTTTCTTTTCTAAACGTCATCGTCATTTGTTTGAAATCGAATCCTAAACAGTAAAACGAGAAGTCAAAAAGAATTCAATATGTTATGTCCATTAATACGCCGAGAAAAATGTAACTTATGATCTCGCTGGCGGTGCATACCAGTCATCGAAGCAACTTTTGCAAATAGTTCGAATTTTAAGTTTCTTTTGTTGTTGCTGACTGCTGCTTAAGCGGCGTGGACCCAAATTTCGACTGTCATTTCCATTCGTTTGCACACCTGTTCGAGCATTTGCATAACTATCGACTGAGGCTTGGTATCCACACTTTCGACATACTAATGTCGAGTGGCAAATATCACACAAATGTCGTTTTCGAAAAAGTCCAAAGCGTTTGCCACAAGATTTACAATGAGAAACTCTTTCTTTTGATACACGAACGGACTGGAACGGGCCTGAATCAGGAGTCGGACTTCTATTCACATTACTCGGTGCACAAGCTAAACCTTCAGCTGTAGTAATTGTAGTCGTGGAAGTGGCGTCAAATATGCTGCCACGTTGAGTGACATCTCCTTCAATAGACCTTGATGAGGTGGAAGTGAATGTTGATGACCTTCGTGGCATCATGGAGACTGGCTGTCCGATTGGAACACTGCTCATAGAGGTTACTCTCTCCAATGTAGATTTTTTGATTCGTTTCAAGCGAAATTTGCGAGATTGCGTCCTTTGTACGCTCATGACACTGGCGCGAATGAGTCCGTAGACTGTCAAGAAGCAAGCAAAAAGAAGACCGAGTAGTCGAATGCCATCTCCATTTACTTCTCCAACAGAATTCAACAAAGATGGAGTTGATTGACACACACGACTGTTCATGTCGGAAGCTTGTACCCATTGATAATCAAAAGAGCTCGACACGTTCCCTTTGGAAATAGCTTGTACACGATAGGCGTATTTTCGACCTGGTAGGATATCCATATCGATTAGATTCGACAGGTTTCCATCAAGTAACGTAGTCCATTGTGGCTGGTCGTTTTTGTCTGGATACCGCTCGAGAACGAATCGTTCAACTGGCCACAGCACCGTCTCAAAGCCTCGCCATCGTAGTATAATAGCATTACATGTTTCAGCTGCGATTAGAAGCGGCGAGTGTGGAAACGCGGGATCTTAAGTGATTATAAAGACTCGTTAGGATAAAATTTGACCTTAAAATTTGTACAAACAGCTACGTACATTTACGCATAACGTTGTCACCGGGAAAGTCGAGCGGCATTTTGATAGGAATCAAGTTGGTGGTCGGATAGGAAGCGACTTGAGTTTGACAGCCGAGATACGGACACACGAAGTTATACAGCCCTCGGAGTTTAGGGACTACAACCCACATTTCGATTAGCCACAGGATTTCCCAAGTGAGGCTAATCAATGACTTTTGAGCTTGATTTCTACCTTGAAAGACGAGCACAAAGATTTGGACTTTGAATGGAAGAGTGAGACTTCACACTAGGAGCTCCTACTATTCTCTTCTTCTTGGCGATGAGCACAGCCATCCTTTTCCCATTGGTCTGAGCAAAAAAGACAGTAGATAATCCAATTACTTGTAAGTTGTATAGGGAGACTCGTACTTTACTGTTGATTGCATTTTCCTAGGTTTTGCAAGGGTTAGGTTGATTAGTTTCTTAAAGAAAGCATTGAAATTGACCAGGTTGTGCTGATGACGTGACATTCTCACTGCACGGTAGCAGTAAATGTATGTGAATCCAATGCATTATCATAAAATGATACCATTTGTATTTGTTCTTTAATCACAAGAATGTCAAGGCGCTTTTTGGTTTAGTGAGATCATATTTTCTGCTTTAGAAATTGCATTGGGTCTATTGATAAACACATCACTAGATCTACTTAGGACGCAACCCTTTGACAGACACAGAATTTAAGAATCCAGCTTCAGCTCTAGAGCGGGATAAGCTGGATCTGAACATTATCAAGGCTGGACGTTCTATCTGGATATCTTCTAAAAACGTCAGATTTCGAGCGCATAACAACCTTAGGAGTACACATATGTAGGATTTTTATCCATTGGTTCAAAAACGTTTACCAAGGATTTAAAGCTTCGTACTTTTAAGCTTTAGCAATCAAGCTGTAGATTAATTCGACGCAGAGAATGCTTTGATCTCTTCGAGTACATTACAGCACAGAGGTTGGATTTGTACGCTCCATTCGGAAGTAGCTTTTGAATAGAAACTCTGCAGCTTTTTTAAATTTCAAGAGTGGCATAAATTAAAAACGTTGTACCGTATATTGGCGCATAAACATTACACTACATATAGTTATCACGGTTAAATATCATTTGCATTGCGAAAATGAGCCGAAAATTTTCAAATCCTTTTTAGTCTTAGTGGATGGTTTGAAGTGCTCGCAATCAGTCTACGTAGCTGGGATTGTCACGCACTCCATCCATGATCTGATGTATGACCTCAAAAATTGCTGACATATATCTTAAAATTAGCTGAACTATGGCCTCAAAGTCATGCAGATAAACGCTTTCACGAGTCCATCGCCACCAATATTTTGTATATTATAGCAGAGAGGAAGTAAGTGGACACGTTTGTAACAGATTTTAAGTCCCTTAGCAAACGTGAATCTATTCGTCCAGAGCTGTACGAGGCTCCAAATGCTGAGCAACACTATGAGCAGTGGACAACCTACAAACATCTTGTTCGAAAACTATTAACTGTTCTTTGTATATGTTTGTCTTCGTGCCAGCAAATAGAATCCTACTTATAGAATAGATAGTGAGTGGTTTGTTCACTGTCACAAAAGAAACTGTCAAAGTCATTTATTCTTCAGGAACATGGTGGCCGCCGCGCATGTAACAAGATATAAAGAGACGTTGCTTTCGTAATCTCCAGCGATTTCTGACAATTACAGTGTCAGTTATCTGCAATGTGCCTGTCACAAGGTATATATATCAGGCATGTATTAAATGGGTTGATGGCGACGAACAAACGTTCATCACGGCCGATTTCTTATTTCTCTCGAGTTGTGGCGGCTCTCAGTCCTACTTTAGTTTACTATGTTCTCGAGTCAGTGAATGTCTTCGGATATTCTCCAGCTTTAGATTCATTGCTAGTTGCCTACCCTTTTTCACTTACATCACGCACGCCCCACCTTCGATGTTTGATCAACACACCACCATTAATATTTGCGAGCTCACATTCAAACTTTTGAGCGCTATCAGTCCATCCTGGCGGACAAAACGTATAAGGATTCGTTTCAACGGAGCTAATGTTATGATTGGGCGAATTAAAGAAGTTGTTACCTACTTACATTAAATTTTTATTGGCGCCGGGCGTGGTGTATGCTTGCTCGGATTTTTGACTGCTAAATGATGTCAATAAATGTCCATATCAAAGCGAGCTTGAGAGTCTAGTCTATCAGCTGGCTAGTCTGTGCAGACACAAAACACTAACGGGAGAAGTGGGATCAAATTGTTCAAAATGCGATGGGCTGGCGGACGCAATCGCAAATTCATCATTGCGAAAAGCTCAAGAAATCTTTTCCAAACATTGCGCTTATTAGGTCAAATCGACTTGAGTGATTCTGGCCAGTGATCGCTTCTATTTATTAGATTTTAATCGAACGCTTTGGCTTAACAAACCAGAAGAAGATCGAAAGGTATAAAGAGCATTAGCGATCTAGGGAGGCTGCATTTAAAAAAGCAGAAGGGTGATGTAATTGCTTGTGGAAACTGGTCTATACCCATAGAACTTGTTTCATTTTTTTCGGCCGACCAAGGCCTCTCGATACAGGATGTAGTCAGTTAGTTCCCTACCACAAGATGCAGTCTTGCTGCTGAAAAATGAAATATGGTGGTTGATTTGAAATTTGCTCGACGGAATATCTTGTTTTCTGCCTTGCACGACTCATATTGATCCGATCACTTTTGTTAGCAAAATTATGTAAGATTCGAGTACGAGGCTTCATTTCGCGGTGATTTTGTCGGGATAAGTTGAACCCTATGGAGCTTATCAGACTGAAGCCAAAAAGCGAAGTCAAAGCTTTGCGAACGCCTTATTTGCAAATTTCTACGCATTCATCGAAGCAGTTTTCACAATATTTGCTGTCGAGTCCGAGTTTCATCACTAGAATGGGAGGGAAAACAAGGAATTTTCATTAAAAGGTCAAGTAGATGAAGCAATTTGAGCAACGTCAATATTTGAGGTGATGTTTAGCACCTTCAGTCCTTGATGACTTATCATGAGATATAAACAGTATAATCACGTAGCCCACAGTTATCATTTCCTTAAGGCCGGACCTAGATCTGGCTGCCAAATGCGGAGTTGTGTGAAGGTTGCGAACTTAGCGCATTGTGGTCCTCGTCTATCGTTTCTACAATTTAAAATCTCTACAGAGTGGGGACATGTCTGCAAATTCTAGCGCCGTAAAGAAGAAGAGAACAGGTAGGTAAGCATCTTAGCAAGGCCCTACGCCTCAACATTATTTGGCTGATTGCGAGAAGTTTCAAGCGAGTTGGACTGGTACCGGTATTTCCGTACAAGAAGATGGATGCAATTCATTCTTCACGGCGAAAGCAGTGATATCGATAAGAACAACTCTCAGACATTAGAATGATTAAACTTGTTGAGAGCATTATGAAATTGGACCCATAATGTGTCTATACGTGGATACAACAGGTTTATTTTCTGGTTGCTGCCTCGCTAATCTGTTTTGTTGCCCTATGATAATTCGAAAAAGTCTTAAGCTTATTAGTTCCTGTAGCAATGATCGAGAAAGCCAATGCACCAGCTTGAATATTTAAGTGGCAATGTTCATTGTTATTTTTTTTAATTAGATTAAGGTATAAATCGACAATGATTTTTTTGGTTAATGACTTGACGATGCACCCGAAATGCTCAATACCATATTATCATCACAGAATATCATAAAGCAAGTAGTTCGATGATCTCAGAGATAGAATTGGTAAATGACACGATCTCATATCTACTCAATCTCAATTAAAAATATCGAATGTGTTGATTAAAATTTCAGCAAAACGCAAGACTTCAGCAAAAGCTTTCTGTGCCAGAATAATTATTAATCTAATCTGGTGTTACTAAAGCGCTGCATTGTTGTACCTATTTTCCTCGAATTGTGGCCTACGCAAAGAGAGGGTTACGTCGTAACCTACAAAATACGGTTCAATTGTACGAACTCATATACACATGGTGTGTGATATTCATATGTACGAAATAGTGATTTCTATTTATATTAGGGAGGGTCCGAGGTATACGTGGTCAGCTAGCCGCATGTCAATAAAAAAGAGTTGTATGACTAGAGGTAGTAAAGCGTACATTGTTAGTGTCAGTTAAAGAAGATCTCTAATTCTATATTTAATGAGCAGAACAAACTGACAGCAAAAGTTACTCGAAGGATCTCGGTTCGTTTGCTATTACACGTCAACCCCTTCCACATTCCAGAATCTACCGGCTCGAGTTAAGATGGTTTATCTATTGTGTGCGATTGTTGGTGCCCTATGTATTTGGTGATACTTGTTGTCAAGAACACGGATGAGTCGTGGAAGGACTATCTCATGAAATATTTGAGTGGGATAATGGGACCAGCTAGTCTATCCTAGGTCATGATGTATTAAAAAACTAGCGGCTAAAGAGCTGGGCCGCCATGAGGCGCTCACCGGCTTCGAAAATGCGCTAATTGATACCGTACTGGAGCGCTTTGACCAAGCACTGGTT